GAAGAGGGATGGTACTAGCTTTGGATAACCCAGTTCTAGACATGTTGCCTAAAAAAAATAAGCCAGTTGTCTTTTAGAGTTACTCTTAGTTGAAGCTGAATGCTCTCTCAATTGATGGCTTAAATATTCAATTTTTAAATCTAGAAAAAGTTATATAACTTAAACATTAAAAAAATAGGAAGCAAGGAACAAATTCATAATGTAGGAAATAAAAAAATGGAAAAAGATACCTAAAGTTTATTTCTCCACAACTGAAAAATAAACCTCAAGCAGTCTTTAAGAGAGTAAAACTGAACCATATTAAGAAGGAATAAAAGATCCAAAATTGTTTATATATTAAAAAAAAAACCTTAAGAACTATGCAGCAGGAATAGAAAAGAGGGAGTGCTCTGGAAACCCTGGTGATTAAAAGTATTCACTGTCTAATTGACTGACTCTTTCTAATTGGATTGTTGCTTTGCTTTCAGCCAAGCCATGAAGAGAAAAATGTAACCCTCCTGGCTGGAGGTGAGACATTCTAGGACCACAAATATTGGCGCCTCAGTTTAGTGCCCATGGCTTCACTAGAGAGCCCTCTGTGGGCCAGCAATGGAATAACAGCATCTACTGCTCAGAGATGAAATGGTTAGGTTAGGGCTTCCAGCCCAAAGAGGAGTCTTAGCATGGGAACCCTTGATCATTTCTCTTACCATTTATAGATTCCCACCATGTGATACAACTGTGGTAGAAAGAATTCACAATGTCATTCTGTGCCACATTCTGGAGGTATGCAGCAGAACAGTCCTGTGGGGCACAGATGTCCTGAGACAGGAGAACTGGTCAGTCAGCTCCAGAAAATGTACCCAGGATTCCTGAACGGCTTTTAAATCTGTTACAGAAGGAGGGGAGGGAGAGAGGTGACTTGAGGTGACTTGATGTGAGTGACAGGGCTAGGCAGGCCACGTGGGATCTCCAGTAACCAGAATTTGGAAGCAGCATTGAGCTCCTGGTGTCCACAGCTGTCTGGACAGATAACCTCAGTGAAAGAGAGTGGAAGGACCAGACCCTGGGAGGGACAGAAGAAGAGAGAGAGAGAGAGAGAAGCTTTATTCATCTGCTAGCTCTCTCATGGTAAAAGAATGCTGAGAGTCCTTTCTCCCATACAGTCTTGATATCCACATTGCCAGTTGTCTGCTTAATTTCTTCCCATATGTCCCATGTTACTCAATTTCCCTCCAAGTCCCTCCAGTCCAATCATGCTCAGATACTAAATCTTGGACAAATCTTCCAATTTTCCTTACTCTCCTTTCCTTCTGATGGTCAGTCCTCATATCCTGTAGGTCTTTATTCCCAAAGTCTCTCCAGAAAAGCTTCTAAGTGATCCATGCAAAGATTCTGAGAGTCTATGAAGTCAGAGTCTATTATACACCAAAGATTCTAAGCTCTGAGTCTGTTGTTCGCCTGAGAAGGCAAGGCCTGAGCTGAAACCCCACCTCCTACTTGGTGAAACAGAGATAGGAGCACAGAGGTGGGTGGCATCCATAGGTTATTTTGAGGGACCACACATGTTTATTTCTACCGTATTTATTCTTTTATGTCAACCTTATTGAAATTGATTAAATATCTGCAGAAGCTGTGGGGCTTAGATTGAATTTGTAAGATGTTTAAAAAATTTCAGTTCTTTCATCCATCCTGTTTGTTGCTGTGCCACAGCCCTATCCAAAGCTAGGCATTCATCTCCTCTCATTGAAGTGACAGTGATAATTTCCTGATTAGTTCTTTGACCTCTACATTTTAAGATTTATGTTTTTATGGTCTGTGTCCTTAGTCCTGGCTTTGATTCTGCCTTTCAGCTCATCTTAGACCTTGAACATTGGCTGTATGTCATGTCTTTCTTAACCATTCTAAGCCTACAGTCCTGGTGGAGACAGAGTAGAAGTCTACTGTCCTTCTTGTCATATTCTTGGAGATGGATGGGGCCTTTTTGTGGTCTGTGGGTTTCACGAGTCCTAGTCCATCTCAGATAGAAGAACCACTCAGGGATGTAGGCTGCCGATTCACACATTCTACCCTCCTATTCTATGTCTGAGGGGCCTTCATTACACACTGCCTGGCCCAGGTGGACAGAAGCACACTGACTATTCTCTATGAGGATACATAGGAGACGAAATGGCAGAGCCAGGGGACTTTAAAAGTTGGGGAACTTGGGTAAAATTGGAGACTTTAGAAGCTGAAAGACTAGGGGGAGAGAGAGAGAGAGAGCGAGCGAGAGTGAGAGAGAGTGTGAGCACGAGAGCGCTTAGGCAGGAAAAAGGGATACAATGTTGAGAAATGTGGACACACAGAGAGGGGAGTGTTCCTGGGTGGGCTGGCCTTTGGAATCTGTGGCTTATTCCTAGCAGGTGTTTGAATGTTTGTTAACTTGGAATGAAACTTGGAACTATGCAGAGCCTGTAGGAAAGGATGGATGAAATTACTAATGAATATAAATAAAACATTTAGAACAATATAAGAAACATGTAGTATAGGCATGCACAGAAAACCACACCTGCACTCATTATAGTCAAACCATTCAAAACCAGAGAAAAGAGAAAATATTAAAAGAATCCAGGGAAAAATGCATTAATTTTAGAAGAGCAACAAGATTGACAGCTTTCAACAGAAAGAATTGAAGACAAAAAACAAGGGCTAAAAGGGAGTTCTTCGCTTATCTAGACTTCTATACCCATTGAGAGTATTCAACAAATTGAATCCATAACATAGCATTAACAAACAAAAATAAGGCAACTTATCACATGTACTGTAAGGAACAATAAAGGAATTAAAATCCTTTTAATTTAGCAGTAAAACCCATATATTTGTTGTATACAGCATGAAGCTGTGATGCATATACACATTGTAGAATGGCTAACTAAGTCAAGCTTTTTACCATATACATCACCTAATGTCCTTATTTGGTGTGTGTGAGGGTTAGAGCACTTAAAATCTACCAATCTATCCTCTTAGCAATTCTTAAGTATACAATAAATTATTGGTAACTATAGTCACCATGATGTGAAATAAATCTCCTGAATTTATTCCTCCATTATGACTGAAATTTTGCAAGTCATATATATGACTTGCAAATACTTTCATTTTACAGGTATTCTTTCACTCTCTTGATAGTGTCCTTTGATACACAAAAGTTTATACTTTTGAATGAGTTCAATTTATCTATTTTTCTTTTGTTTCCTACACATTGGGTGTCATTTAAGAAGCCATTCCCAAATCTCAAATCATTAAGACTGCCCCCTCTGGTTTCTACTAAGAATTTTGTAGTTTAGATAAACTTAGATCTTTGATCCATTTGAAGTTGTTTTTGAATCTGTTATTGAAGGATGTCTTCATTTTTTTTTGTACATGGATATTCAGCTTTCCTAACTTGTACCATTTATTGTTTTAAAAGACTGTCCTTTCTTTATTGAATGGTCTTGACATCCTTATTGAAAAATGAATGGACCATGTATGAGAGTATTTGCTTCTGGGCTCTTTGTTCTGTTCCATTGGTCTATATCTATATATAATATGTCTATATCTCTATCTATCTATCTATCTATCTGTCTATCTATCTATCTAACTCTTCATGCCAATACCACACTGTTTTGGTTGCTGTAACTTTGCAGAAATTTTTAAAATTAATAATTGTTAGTCACCCACTCTTTTATTCCTTTTCAAGACATTTTGGAGGGTTATTAAGGGTCCTTTGAAGTTTTATATGAATATTAAGATGAGTATTTCTGGAGAAAATACCATTGATACCATTGGGGATTTTGATATGGAATTGCATTAAATTTACTATTATCTTGGGTAGTGCTAACAACTGTCTTTACGTATTTGTGCTGTTGTAATAAAATATCCAAGACTGGCTAATTTATGAAGAAAAGAAATCGATTGTCTTACAGTTCTGGAGACTGGGAAACTCCAAGATCAAGCACTGGCCGTTTTAGTATCCAATGAGGGCTGCTCTCTGCTTCCAAGGTGATGCCTTGTTGATGCATCCTCTGGAAGGGATGCATGCTGTGTCATCACACATCAGAAGGGATTGGGGGTAGGGTAAGTGTGGTCCCTAGAGACATTTTATAAGGAACCGAATCCTAAAATGAAGGCTCTCCTTCATGACTTAATCATCTCTTAATAACATGATTGGCCATTAAATTTCAACACATGAATTTTGAGGGACACATGTAGACCACGGTACCATTTTAAAATATCAAGTCTTCAAATCAATGAGCATAGAATACTTTTCCATTTATTTAGTTCTTCTTTTATTTCTTTTAGTAATGTTTTGTAGTTTTGTACAACTACAAAGTCATATCTTTGGATAAATTTATTCTACTTGCTTTCTTTATTCCAAATGGAATTATTCTTATAATTTACTTTGCAGGTTGTTAGTAGTATATAGAAATACAACTGATTTTTGAGTGTTGACTTGTCATACTGCCACTTTGCTAAGACACAGTCAGTTTGCAGCCTGACCTGGGAGCTAGGGGAAGTGAATACATCCCCCCCTTCTCTTTTTTGGTGGGCACATACTATAATTGGATTTGAGCCAAATAGTCTGGCTCTAGAGCCCATGATTAAAGTCTCTATATGGTAATTTCCCAATGACTCTACCTATTAAGGAAATTAAGGTTTAAACATTTCCTAAGATCTTGTTTAATAGCTTTTGAAATAATCTTAGTTTTTTTCTGTAGATGACTTGTTTCTTTCTTACCAAATTGTTTGTTTTTGTATGTATGTGTGTATGTATGATTTAATTTAGACAGAACCTTGCTGTTTAGCTGCAGCCTGGCCTGGAACTCACCATATTCCTGCTTCTGCCTCCTGAGTACTGTGATTACAGGTGTATAAAACTATGCTTGGCTCAAATTTGGTTTTACTTCATAATGTGACAATAAGAAGTAAGGAACCCTTTAAAGTTTTAATTCGAATTGTCTATTACTAGAAAAAGAATTAACTGTCTTAAAAATATTTATTTTGAGGTTTCCGGATTCCTCCCTGCCCAAGATGGCAACCGAAGAGCAGGTGCTGCGGCCGCGGCTTCCAGAGCTGTTCGAAACCAGCAGGCAGCTGCTGGACGAAGTGGAAGTGGCCAGCGAGCCCGCTGGCTCGCGGGTCATCCAGGACAAGGTGTTCAGGGGACTAGACCTCCTGGAGAAGGCTGCAGAGATGCTGTTGCAGCTGGATCTGTTCAGCCGCAATGAAGACCTGGAGGAGATCACGTCCGCCGATCTCAAGTACCTGATGGTGCCCGCGCTCCAGGGAGCCCTCACCATGAAACTGGTCCATACCAGCAAGCGCCTGGACCATCTGCAGCGCGCTCGGGAGCACTTCATAAACTACCTGACCCAGTGCCAGCACTACCACGTGGCAGAGTTTCAGCTGCCCGAGGCCAAGCTGGCCCCAGCCGAACAGCAGCCCACCACCGCCTCCCCGAACCTGGTGGCCATGGCATCACACCGACAGGCCAAGGTGGCGAGGTACAGGCAGCAGAAGGAGCTGGAGCACCAGCTGGCCGCGATGAGGGCGGCCATGGAGAGCGGGCAGGCGGAGGATGAGCGTGTCCGCGAGTATCACTTGCTGCACTTGCGCAGGTGGATCTGCATCAGCCTGGAGGAGGTGGAGAGCATTGACCAGGAGGTGAAGATCCTGCGCTCCAGAGACGCCTCCCGAGAGGCCTCCACCTCTCGCTCGCCGCTCCAGGACAGGGCCACCATGAAGCCCTTCGTACTCACTCGGAACAAGGCCCAAGCCACTGTATTTGGAGCTGGTTATCCAAGTCTGGCCACCATGACAGTGAGTGACTGGTATGAGCAGCACAGGAAGAGCGGAGCCCTGCCAGATCAGAGACTGGCCACGGCAACCCCAGCCGAGTTCACAAGAGCAGCCCCTCCACACGAGGAGCCAGAGCAAAAGGAGGAGGAGGAAGAAGACAACGAAGAGGACACATTGCACCGAGTGCGGGACTGGGACGACTGGAAGGACACCCATCCTAGGGGCTATGGCAACCGACAGAACATGGGTTAATCTCCCCACCACCGGGACACAGTGCAGTTTTCTGGCCAAGGAAAACCGTGCTGCCTTCCCCTCTCCAGGCTCCTGCTCCAGCTGTGTGCAAGGAAGGTAAAGATGCTGACTCTTGCTTTGCGTTCAATAAAGTGTCAAACAACTCAGTGTGCATTCGTACCCTAGATAATGACCAGTGATCTTGTTTTGGCATTATTAATTCTCATCATGGTGTACTCTGATTTAAGTGGACAAAAAAGGCACTGAGAAATGGCTCTGTAATCAATGGCTGTATGAATTCTTTTTTAAAAATAAAAAACCCTTCTATTACGTGAGCCTGTGCAGAAAAAAAAATTTATTTTATATCTTGTCTCTTCTTTGTTCTAATAGTCCTTTTTTTTTGTATTACACTTTTTGTTTATAAGTTCATGTGGTCAGGGTGTTTGTTTCATTGTATCTCCAGACCCAGAATAGGGCCTGGCCTAAAGGGAGTTCAATAAATATTCGTTGAATAAACAAAGGAAATGATTTGCTAATTTTTAACTTCTTACATATCTTGTTTCAAACAAAAATGTCTTCACCTCAGTGTGTCAGGATTTGTAAAAATTGACTTTGGAAAGTGCATCAGTTTCTTTCTGCCACAGGGAGAGGCTGTTCTTTTGAGTCTCTTGAAATGTCTCTCAAGTAATGATTATTTTGTTGTTTCCATGAACTTAAATATTTATTTTCCTTTATTTTTGGACTACCTAGCCTCTCCCAAAGTATATGTAATGATAGTGTGTAAATGGCTAGGTGTGGTGGTGCACTTGAGTGCCTGTAATCCCAGCACTCAAGTTCAAAACCAGCCTAAGATATGTAGAGAGTCTCAAAAAAAAAAAGGCAAAAATGATTATCTTATTTTAGGCATAATGGTTTGATTAATATAACATTTTCAATTCAGAATCATTAAGGAAGCTCTTACTTAGCATCTTTGTTTGGGATGCATTTCAGTCTCTAGTGACAGAGCAATGTATTATGGTCTTTCCTATTTAAATTCCCTGATACTGACCCTCTGCAAGGCCTCCAACCCTCCACTGTTCAATCTATTCATTAACACAGATATAAAATATGTAAACGTAACAAGCAAATGGAATCCACAATGCATAAAATGACTCAGTTTGATTTATTATCAAAATGAAAACTTGGCTTAAATCATAGAGACAATTTAACAAAACAAAAAAATTTGTATAAATGTCTTATCACAGACTGGACTCTTAGGTGCAAAGTCACAGCGATTGTGTCAATGTGGCATAGGAAAGATGTTTTGATGAATGGAACAGACAGACAGCTCACAGAGTCTCCTTCATGCATGGCAATTTGGCTTATACCAGCACTGGAGATTAGAGGGGAAGGATGGGGTTTTGGATAAACAGTACTGGGATAATTGAGTATACAGATAGAAAATAGAATTAGACCTCAATATCATACCATATAAAAATCAGTCCCAAGAGTTACATAATAAATGGAGAAGACAAATTTCCAGGACCAGGGGAAAGTTACAAGAATAGACAGAAGAGTTCTCTAAAGCATGTCTTTCCAGTTGAGAGACCGTTCTCATAACATACTCGAAGGTGAGGACAGTGCCTCAGGTGAATGAAGTACTCAGAATGCAGATAGAGGACAAAATAGAACCATATCAACTGAGGACCAAGAAAGCAAAACCCTCAGAGTGAAATTGCTGATCATAAGGGTGGCCTGAGGTCTTTGAAGGACAAGCAGATTTAGGCTCAGAAAGTGACACTGTTCTCTATGCAGCTCGGCTTCAGATAATCATAGGGAAAGTCTGGCCATTTATTTTGGGCCAGAAATCCCCCTTCCAGGTTTTCCAGATCTGCTTGCAAATGCCTTAGCAAAGCCTTGGGCTAAGGGCCTGAGAAATACGCTGCTTTGTGATAGCCCAAGGGCACCTGAAGCAAAGGTGCACTAGCTGCAAGATCCAAGGCATAGGGACCCAAGTTCATCCCCTCCTTCTGATGTCTTCAGTTGTCAGTACCCAAGTTCCAGAGATCCCTTCTCACCATGTCTGGTGGCCACTTAGGAGCCACGTGGTAACCATTTGAATACTGGTCTGCCAAACATTGGCAGTCACCCCATCACTGTGGCCATTGTCACATCCTTGGAGATGGGTGGGGGCATTCATATGGAGCATGGGCTATTAGGAAACAAGACATACCAGTTGAACTAGAGGAAGAGTCGGTAGAATTCACCAGAACTCTGATTTCAGGTCAGTATCTCCCAGCTCTCTTTCAAGCATCCCTAGTCTAGACACCTGCCCTCAGGGGCCCAAGGTTTCAGTTATCCATACTTGGCCCTGGTTGATGACTGCGTGTTGGGCAGTGTGCGTGAAGATGCACATGGTAAGGAAAGAGCAGAATGATCCCAAGACAGCGAAACCTAGCAGAAAAAAGAAAGATGTTTAGAAGCTACAGCCTTAGAGGGAATGAGAAAATAAATGCTGATGTCTTGGAATGTCTGTACCCTAGAATTATATTAATTGACTTATTCAAAAAGTGTAGAAGTACTATGTAGCAAGCAGTGTCTGGGCATTGGAGATGTGTTGGTACATCTTATAGTTGAGGTTCTAGTAGGGAAGCAAGATAATTGAATAATTCAGTAAAATTACACTAAGTTATAGAAGGCAGGAGAAGGGGATATGAACCCTCAGGAGAGGTGGTTGGTAATTTAATTAAAGGATGGGGGAAAGTGTCACTGACAGTCATCTGTGAAGTGGGGAGTATAGTGGTTCACAGGACAGGCTGTGCAATCAGCCCTGGGCTTCAGTCCTGCTGGTCAGATACATCTCCTTGGATCTATTGCTTGGCTTCTTTGAGCCTCAATATTTTCTCTGAAAATGGGGATAATTGTTACTTATAAACAAGATGGTCCATGTAAAGCCACTCGGTACACTGTGGTTGTTGTTATGATAGGATTTGGAGGATGAGGAGGTCTAATAGGCTGTGTGATCAAATACCCTGTTTTTTAAAGTAGTTAAAATCACAGGATAAAGCAGACATCCAAAGGGAAAATGGTAAAGGCTTTAGCAGACACTTGCCAAAGGAGGATATCTGAATGTTAAACCAAAGATAAGGCACTCAGCTCAGCTAATCACTGGACAATGCAATTTAAGCTCACAATGCAACCAAAATGACAAAAGTAAAAATGACAGAAGTGTCATTCTCATGCATAGAACACATGGAACAACAATAATTCATACTGTGCTGGAAGGAGTGATATTAGTGCAACCATTTAGAAGTGGCCCGTGATTGGTAGAAGTGAATATCATGGACCCTATGATCGATGATGTTCATGTCTAGAGTCTTTTGGAGCACGTGGAGCCTGAGGGACAGACTGAGAAGTACTGCAGGAATTTTGGTCCTGGAAGGGTTGATGGGGTGATATGTGTGGGTGGGGAAGAAACAGCCCCAGATCCTTTAAAGTAAGATTCCATCCATGATGGGGTCATTGACTATCAATCTGTGGATGCCCAGGGTCTGGCTGAAACACCTGTGAGCAAATTCTTAAACAGTTGTCCCACAAGGGAACGAATGGGACTCAAGGTGTTGCTCTAAGTGTGCAGGTTCAGGGGCTCAAGGACAATTCCAAACAGCTCAAGATGGCCCATATTGCTAGGGAGAAGAACATGAGCCTGGGAGGAGCTCAGGAAAGGCCCTTTCTTCTCAGGAGATTAGTGTGGGGTGGGAGTACTAAAGGTGGTGGCATCCTACTGAGGAGGACAGTTTGGCCAAATAAATGTGAGGATCACAGGTCAGGATGCAGAGTTCAGGTTTGAGACATAGCATGTTCAGCATGGAGGTCACATCTAGAAATGCACAAGGTCATTTCTGCAAGTGTGCAGTATGCCTGGACCCTGTGTGCATTGTGGACAGCAGCAGGTAGGAGGAGGGAGGGAAAGCCATGGTGGCTCATCACGGGCTTTGGTGAGAGGTTGTTCCTATTCGTATCTCCAGGTAGGAAAAAAGAAAACCATGAAGACAGAACAGGAGCCACAGAGGGACTGGGCAGGAGCTCTCAAGGCTATGCTTTCCCAAGAAGGAAATCTATGGGCATCTAGAATGGTCCTGAGTGTTAGAAAGTGTGAGTAAGATTTGGATGCTTTCATGCATGGAGGGAGGGGTATGAGGAGTGGCTGGGTCCAGTCCCCAGAGGAGCAGAGCTGGGAAGGGGCTCTGGCAGACTCTCCCAGGAGCTCCTGATGCTGGGATGATCAAACCTCAGTCCTGAGCCTGGCACAGCACCACCTCAGTGATCTCCCAACGCCAGGCCTGCAGCTCAGGGTCCTCCCTGAGATAGAAGAGGTGCACGCTCCCCTCCATGTACCTGCCCAGAGAAGGGAATTGAGTTCTCTGAGAGTAGAAGGCTCCAGCCTCCTACCTCTGCTCCTCTTTTCTGGGTTTATGTCCAGCTGCTTCTATTTATCTGGGGCCACATTCTTCAAGACTTATTTTCTGGGACACTCTCAAGATTTTGTATATGTTTGTGTAGAAAGGAATGAGATGCTAGCAATTCCAGGAGTTTCCCCTATTGTACATGGCTGCTGCTAGACACTCTTCTTAACAAAATCCTTAATCTCACCAGATTCCTTGGTTTACCACTCCCAGCCTTCTTAGCCCAGGCTCCTGCCCTTATCTCAGTCTCTTCTTTTCAGACTACCCTCGCTCATCTCCTCACTTTTGCTCATCTATCCTCTGAATGGAGCTTTCTGCTGCTCCTATCCGAATCTCATTGTTTTAGTCTCATGTTGATCCACGTCACCACCCTGCTCTCCATCTCCTCTACCCCCAATTCTAAGCCCCCTTTCACCAACTGAGCAATGAGCAATGATCTTCCAAAGCTGCAAAGCATACTGGGCATACAGAGCACTTGGGATTCTCAGCAGGCCCCTGTCAGCCAGGTCATCAGGAGGTCAGAGGGAATGGTAGGTCAGCTGAATCACTGCCCGGCAGAGCAGGTACACATAGCCCCCTCCACCTGTGCTCACTGCCTGGGATAAAAAAGATGAGAACTTGAGGGAAGAAATAGGGCCAGAGAACTTTGGTATTTTACACAAAGTGTCAGATATGGAGCTCTTTGACTTTTAGAGAGGATAAAAGGAATAGATTCAGGAGTTCCACTTAGGGGTTAGGACATTCCAACATAGTTGATCTTGGATCCTGAAAGTGGCAGTAGGTCACAGAGAGTTGGACAAATCTGTTTCATCTCCAATTCCCTCATCAAATATTCCTCCATCTGAGATGAGTGAGGATCAGGCTTGGGTGTTGATTTCCATGTTGTAGCTGACATGGGGGACCAGGAGCTGGAGTGGAGGAGATTGGAAGGGGTGATTAATGGAGAGCCTGGCCTCAGCCCAGCATGGTATCCTGCTTTCTTCTTGATGCCTTTGTCCCAGTTACTACCTTGGCAGGCTGATCTGATTCTTTTGTCACT